TGGCTTTATATTAATAACTCCGGTGATTACGGAGTGAGAATACAACAAATGGAATAATAAGTGCGGTCGTTACCGCTATGAATGCACAGAAAGAAAGATAGTGAATAAGTATTTATCTAAATGGCACGAAACCCACGTACTGCCTTCGCCATTGTTTCAGGTAGAATGAGGGACCCACTTATCTCGGGGCCGCTTGACCCCGCATCTTTTGGGGGCGTGAGTTCAGCTAGAGGGAGACGTATCAGACAGTGAGACGACGAGATAGTTATGGTGATTGTCGTCGTAGACGACGTTAGCTTGCTTTCAGACTTCGACGTCTTCTATCCGTCGCGTGCTGCGATGGCGAGGGCGTGCGTGCTGCGACGGCGGGCCCGTGCGTGCTGCGACGGCGGGCCCGTGCGTGCCGCAGCCGCGGTTCTAGAAAGATGTTGACAGCGCCGAACACCGATCGATACCGCAAGACAAGGGGATGACTAACTCCATCATCCCGTCTTGCAGTATCGATCGGTATCAAGCGTTGTTAACACTTGTCTAGCGCCGTCGTCGCAGCACCCACGCGACGGACGAACGGAAAGGCGGACGGAAGTCGAAGCCTGAAAGCAGCCCTTCAGTGTTGTTCAGCTATAATATGGGTTGAAAACGGTAGCGATGAAAATCTTAATGTTGTGTTTTCGTGCTATTATTATTAACAATGATGTTGGATGGTGGCGCTAATTGACCCCTCGCCTATCATCTATCACCTCATCGCTTTGCTACAGCGTGGTCCTTTTTGAAGGATATGTATCTACATCACGCATTAGATGATAGCAGACATTTTCCAACACCAAATTGGGCAGGCTATTTTGATCTCAATGCTTTTTTCTGAAATCTTCTTCTGAATTATTTCCTAAACTTCAACTAGGAGTTGCAATTCAGCGTAGTGTATGGAAACCATAATATCAGCATATTCACGGAATTTCGCAGTTCATTCTATAATTTATGATCAATAATAGCTTAAACCGACATACATTTGAAGTTTCATCATTTTTTGAGCAGTGCTCCGGCTATTCCTGAAAAACTTGTCGCTATAGACTCACTCGGGGTGTCACTGATCTACTACTGACGGAAACCTTATTGTGGCCTTCCAATATTCTGGAGCTTGTTAACTTTCGCGTAAATCGGTTTTATTGTGGATTTTAAGAGTGCAGGCAAGTCGCGGTTGAATAACTCAACAGCTCTCGTTATTGCTTTACAGAATAAAACCTCTTCTTTAAAATATTCAATCTCATGTTCGCTGCACATGGTTACTTCCTTTCTGAAATTTCGCTTGATCGGAATTAGATGCTATAAGTTTGAGAAGGAGTCATTACAATGATACCGTTAAGCCAAACTCATTCAGGTGGTGTAAACATTCACAAGGTTGGCGATTTGTGGGCAAAACTCCAGTCTCGGACGGGACTCGAACCCGTACTTGTCCTTTCCGGGGACCGTGCTCTTATTTCTTACACTACCGAGACCCCGCTTGCCCTCGCCTTCTTAATGGCTTATATGCCATAGCTTAACCTTGTGAGACTTTCGCTTCGCGCACTGCGGCGTTAAAACAGCAGTTAACAAAACATCAAGTCAAAACAAGTACTATCATGTAAAGCTTACAGCTTATCGGTTCTGTGCTGATATCGGCCGACCGGCTCAACACGTTGTACGTGTGAGTGCTGATAAGCTATGGCATATATGCCATTAAGAAGGCGAGGGCAAGCGGGGTCTCGGTAGTGTAAGAAATAAGAGCACGGTCCCCGGAAAGGACAAGTACGGGTTCGAGTCCCGTCCGAGACTGGAGTTTTGCCCACAAATCGCCAACCTTGTGAGACTTTCGCTTCGCGCACTGCGGCGTTAAAACAGCAGTTAACAAAACATCAAGTCAAAACAAGTACTATCATGTAAAGCTTACAGCTTATCGGTTCTGTGCNCCCCCCCCCCCCCCGCTATCGATCTCCTTCGGGCTCATTGGATCTGCATGTCCTTTTCTCTCTGAAGGCACAAGGGTCCAGTCCTCTGAAACGTATTGCATCTTTTATCGTTACCAGGAAGAACTATTCTAGATACCTCTACTTCGGAAAATATTAGCACATGCAAATGTTAAATTTCAAAGGAAAAAACATAAATAGTGACTGGATTGTCTAATCGGTCGATTAGCAGCTAATCAAGTCATCACATGATTTTATACGTCGTAAAAAAATACTCTAGAATTTGATGACTCATTCTACTGTCATTGTATTGAAAATTTTCTTATGTGAGCTGTCTTGACCAATACACGAGCTCATAAGAAAGTCCGGTGAGTAAAACAAGTCATAACAGAACCTGACACGTTAATCGATCAATTGCGCGGCCACCTTCTATGGCCATCCAAGTAGACACTTGCGTTGACCCTGATACCTGCGACTAGTCTAGCATGCATTCTTTGTATAACATGATCAAGCCCTCAGATTAGTGCAAAACTACTTTGTTCTCCATGATTTTCCATGCCTACAACACAAAACCAGCGAATTCTTGGAAAAACGGTATTCAAAATCGCTGTTTCCAGTTGAAACTCTTTAAATTCTGGCATGATGGATATCAAAATGAACTAATTCCATGACTTGCTTATATAAAGGGGCGCATGTGGCCTGAGAAAACTTCAAAAACTGACAATGCTTCTACCAATTGAAGTGGACGGTTTACATGATGTTATATCTACGGGCAACTTTCCAGGTTCTCGAAGACTCATTCTTCAATGCTCCTGAAAAAGAAGCTACAAAACTGGCGGGAATCAAAAAAATTTTGCATGATTGGGTTATCCATAAGCAGGGCTATGCTTTGCTGTGCAATCTGAATAGATGGCTGGAGAGAAGTAGGAAATGCCTGGAAGACTGGTCATTCGTACCAATGGTTTCAGCTGAAACCGTTCAAATTATATCACGGAAGAAAAACGTCCAGGACTCCGAGCTCTCCTCGAATATGATGCCATTCATGAATCTACTGGAGCTGAGAACGAAGTTCTCACTTGAAGTTGAGGGTTTATGATAGCCATACCCGCAAGTAAAACCTTACTGCTAAGAGACTCTACTTTCGTTTTTTGTCGGGAACGTAAGCAAAAAACTTGAGAAAATCGAAAAATCATTATTTGTTTAGATTCTTCACGAGTAGAGCTCTCCGATGTTCTTACTTCCAAATTGATTGGAGTACTGTAACAAATGTCATGGCGATGCGACGGTTTGCCACGGTTAATCTGTCGCAAACGGATTAATCCGTCGCAAACCGTCGGTTGACCACGAATTAATAGCAGTATTGTTCGCATGTTCAGATTACTTGAGTCTGTCTGAATTCTCAATTCAGAGAAGCTCAGTTGAGAGAGGAAACAGATCAAAAGAGTATATTAGTAATCAAGTTAAACTGTGAATACGATTTTTCTTCCGTGGGGTTTTTTTTTTACTTCCCTGATGCATTGAAGAAATCGTTGGAAGTTGGTTGATCTGTGAATCCTTTTATCACAGCAAGCTCGCCTCTACTTCTACTGTGTAACTTCTCGTTTACGTGAAGTACCATTTACATATAGTTGTTCGCATGAATGTCTGGACATCCGTCGTAGGCGTTATTTCCACATTTTTTTTCATGCGAAATTACTCTTTCAAAAGAAAAATACGAAATATATAACTAAAAAACAAATCAATAAATATACACAACTGCAATGAGTAAATAAATAAACACACCTATGTGACTGTTTGATCATTATCATGCCAACTTCTAGGCGGTCTGTGATTGCGCTAATGTTTCGTTCCATTTTCGCTAGTTTACGTCTGGATCACCATAATAAAGTATTTTTAGCCTAGTCTCGATAGATACTTGTTGGGCACGGTGCGCGCAGAGCCTTGGTTATTGCAAATTGTCCTGCTACATATATAAAATATATAGTATACATTATATATAAATATAAAATATGTATTCAAAACGCTCAGTGTGTCTTTTGTTCTCTAGGTGTGTGTGCTTGACTGGGAATTCATAACTCCTGTTTCCGTGGACTTATTGTTAGACCGTTTCAACTTTATGACAGCGTTTTCTGAGACCAAGAGCGTTCAAATTTCGTAGGAGTAAAGGTGGTAGTATGGGAATGCTGATGATAGGTGACGCCATCGAACTTTGTTCACAGAAGATGGAGTGTGCGCGAAAATTCTTGATTTGGAAAGCTGTTGACGTTTGCCTCGCTCTTGAGACGGTCAATACTTATCAGCAATGCAATTTAGATTGTTGGAAGAACTCACATTTTGTTAGCAAACGTTCTATCTAGTTATGAAATAGATAATTAAAAAAACGAGTCTCTGTGTTCGCAAATGCTGATTCAGAGCAATCCAATGTTTCTGCACACATATCATAGGTAGTTCCTCACACGTTCATCAAGCTGTCCTTTGGTAGTGCCATTTGTTGATTTTTTATACAGCTGTTGACGCTTGTTTAAGCGCCAAAATAGAATACATTAGTATGAAGAAGTGTTTTAGCTTGTTCAAATAGTTTAGCCCATCGTATTCTTAACATTACCTTTTCTTTTGGGAAATTTCGCGTTCCGTTTCGTTTCACGGAGTGACGCTCATGGTGATTTAGTGGAGAACACCAGGAGTGGCACTCCGTGAAACGAAACGGAAGGGCTCCACGATTATTAACGAGCATTTATATATACCTTCACATATAGGCTTCGACAACTTTAATGGTGAAGAACAATAGTCATTTTGAGAAGGGCGTCAGGACCGTTGACATGTGATAACTTATGAAATATTCGAAGGTTGTTTCATGTCCAGTTTTTGTTCTCGAGTAGCGTTGGTGGCTCTCCGTCGAGAGTTTTATTGCTGCCGTTTCTCAAGCAGGAATGCGCTGTCGAAGTCTGTCTCAAATTTCAACTGAGAGACACCCATCCATTGCTCGCACATTCAACCTAGTCCTCTATACTCTTTCTCAAAGACTCAGCATTCGTTTGTGGCTGTATTCGCTCCAATATGGGTTCACTAGGAGTTGGACACATATTCCAAAACGTCCTGAAACCCACTCTTCGTTTGCCTTTAAGTGATCTGGCATTCGTCTCTACTTTGCCGGAGCACTACCTTCCTGATTTAGTGCGAGGTGATTCACCTAACTATCAGAGGAAATTTTTTTCACGAAGCATACACGAGTGTCATAGTGGTTCGAGCGATTTCCTACAAATTATGTTCTTGTAAAAGCTTTCACCACCCCCCCCCCCTTAGAGATTCCTTTTAGTGAGCAAAAGCAGCTGCCTGGCAACCGCTCTTGGAAACATTTTTCATGTTTGACTTTCAGAAAATATTGGTCGCGTGAAATGGGATGAGCTTCGGAGAAATGGTGATGGTGCACTTGAAGATGATGTGTCTGCATTCATACCGGCGTGGAAGAAGACCCTCAAGGTTTTCTTCCTTTTCTTAAAGGAATCTTGATTTTTCTTGGTCGTGGTATCCACTGTATTTTCATAGCTCCTTAAAATTCTTCTACCTCATGTCGGACTGAACATTCTTCTGCTGTCTTACATCACAATGGGAGCAATAATGTTTATTTGGCTTGAAGCAGATCACGAGCTGCAAAATCGAAAGGTGAACGATCCTAATTTTCCTTCAATTTTGTTACATCCATGCAGGAAACCTTTCGTTTTCTATCAACATGTGCTATTTTGTGCTTCTTGTGATACTGTAACTGAAATGTTTCTTGAAATACCAGTGTTTGATAAGAGAGTTGGGCAGCGCTGGAATGCAACATCGATAAGGATGCCTCACATTTGCTATATACCGCCGCTCCTATATGAAAATCAAGGTATTGAAGTGAAGTTATGCTCGTCAGGAAAAATTTTATTTTTTAACTGTAATTGAAACAAATTTGTTCTGAAATACATTGACCGGAACAAGAGTATTCATAAATTGCGGCGCTTTGTCGACTCGAAAGTTCTAGTTTGTAAAACAATTTGTGATCATTCTTATACCTCTAGTGAGTGCACTGAAAAGTTCTGTCACCCAGTCTGCCTCCATGAGTGGAAGTTGGGCACGTCAACCCACTCACCACCCGTTTGAGGCTTATAGACCCACTCATTTTCAAGGTGCTGTGCCAATAGGTATGCGGAACGATTCTCTGAGAGTACTCACAATAAGTTTTGACAAATGTCGCGGAATATGTGCTGAGAAGAAACTATGATTGAGAATTTGTTATCTCAGTTATCACGGTCTAAAAATGGCGGAATGTGGATTCAATGAACAGACCAAAGGGGAAGTCATGATGTGATTATTAAAATTCCTCTCGCAGAAATAAGTAGACTGGTATAAGCTTCCAACGGCGCTAGGATTTTGCTTCGATTGGGGCAATATTGTATGCAGCACATTTGTTCAATCCATCATAAACAGGATGCTGAAAAACGTTAGACTGCGTTATTCCAGTGTTTTCTCAAGGACTTCACTGATAAGGTTGGGTTTACTAGAAACTGTATAATTGGTATTCTGTATGCTAGAGCTTTATCAGCTTTTAGCAAGTGAAGAAAATTTCCACATCCTGTAACTCGTGTACGTGACCGGTTCAAAAAGAAATCGATATTGCAAAAGTGTCACGACTTCACAAGAATACATCCTGTAACGCCTACTGCACCTCATGAATTAGGAACACCCCCTCATACAGTACTTCTTCTAATTTGTGGTCAACCGACGATTTGCGACGAATTAATCCGTCGCAAACCGTCGCTTCGCCATAACTTTCCTTGAAGTAATCCAGTTGAGTTGAAAGTAGGATCATCGGAAAGCTCTGCTCGTGAGGAGTCCAGACATGTAATAAATTTTTAATTTCCATGAATTTCGCCATTATTTCCTGGAAAAATGAAGACTGAGTCTCTCAGCACCTAGGGTGTTACTTGCGGATATAACGGCATCGTTAACGCTCCACTTCAATTGGAAACATCGCTGTAAGTTTTTAAAAGGCATAAATGACTTTATATCAGAGGAGAGCATGAGATTCTGATCATTTTGATACGTTTCTTGACATAATTTCAAAAGTTTCAACTAAAAGCAGTGGTTGAAATTGCCAGTTTTTCAGATATCTGCTGTTTCTTTTCAGCTACCATTTTGAAAGGGAGCCCAATAGTAGTTCTGATCCCAGTAATATGACAAATTTTTGAAATTCTTCAATACTGTGACTTCATGTTTACAAAAAGCTCGAACAATTAGTCTTCAAGTACCAGAGGTGTTACTTGCCCAAATAGCATAATCATCATTTCTCTACTTCAATTGGAGACTCGTTTCTAGGTATTTCGAAAGGTATATATGATGTTCTATTTGATTACAGCATAGAATCTCGATCATTTTGATTTCTTTCATGACATAATTTTAACATTTTCATTTGAAAACAGTGATTTGAAGTCACAAATTTCCAAGAATTTGCTAGTTTTTTCTGAGGTGCATCTAGTAAAAAGCAAAGCAGTTTTGCACTCATTTATAGGCTTCAATTATGTTATTCAAAGAATACACGCCAGGATAGCCGCAGATATGTATACTAAATTCTCATTTCGAGCTTCACAGTAATTGCCAATCGATATACATTCCAAGATTACTTCCAATGCTGATCAACTGTGATGTGGCCTGAGAACGGCCGAAATGATTGTTTCCCTGGTACTATACGGCATTAAAATTTCGGAATCGCTTTCTAAACGAACGTAGAGCGAAATGACCCCTCTCTATCGATCTCTATAGGCCCATCACCTTCACTGCTGCCGTGTCCATTCGCTAGCCCTCTTGGTGACACATAATGTATGCAACTGGCAGAAGGGAAAGATAGCACTAGGAGAAATGCAGTTGAACTTCGTGTATCAAATCCCTGCGTCAAATCGACTGGAATTGTACTACCTTTCACCACTTATAACTTTAATTTTTGTTTGTTCGAAACTTTTTAATTTGCCCCTCACTTTCCCTTATTTTGGGAAACTAGGGAGCACTTACACTGAGAACCGGTCTAATCTGCTCGGAGAAAAAATTAGCTTATGGTGAGTATGTTTCCTTGAAAAACCGAAATCTTAGAAATTGAAAGGACAAAATTTCATCAGTTCTCAACAACTCTTCAGACACGCCTATAATCGAAGCTTCCACATTTTGAAGGTGAAACCACTGTCTAAAGTGGAGGGCTACAGTGGAAAGGATCTAAAACAGAGAGCTACGGGATAGCGTATCTGAATTCGTCTGGAATTGGTGTTCGAAAAAGGACTTCTAAATGGCATATCTGGCATAAGGCGTACTCCTTAATTGACACGGCAGTAGCGAGGCCATGGGTCAGTAGAGATCGATTGTGAGGGGTCGGCCAGCTCAACGTTAACTAAGATGTGATCCCGTTATCTATCTCCGAACTTTTACACAGTTTTATGACGAAACAGAGCGATTATTGCATAGAAGTATGTGCTACCGAACAATGACCGAACTTTCTAAATTTGGTAGTTTGAAACACCGTTCTCGGTTGGATATGTTAAAATTTTCATAAGGCATCAAGATAATTATAATTTCATGCTATCCTAGAATGCTTACAATGCTTATTAAAAAGTGAAAACAAGGTTCCGATTGAAGTGGANCGACGGTTTGCGACGGATTAATCCGTCGCAAACCGTCGGTTGACCACAAATTAGTAGCAGTATTGTACGTATCGGAACAGAGCTGAGAACTTTCTTGAGATAAAGTTGTGATTGAATTGTAGGTTCATTTCTTTATAATTGATCATTATGATGGCCATTGACATGAAAAGTAAATACATGCGTGCCACATGAATGGTGGGAAGTAGATATAGCTGGACCAAGGCAACATCCTCACCAATGGGTTCAATACTTTCACATCTTTTGACTCGATATTTTTGTTAACTGCTTCTGATTCGCTGTATTACGCGACGCGGAATTTCCTCCAATGCCCGCGATTTATGACGAAGACATTGACCTCCGACGAGACTCGATCTCTGGCTTGTGCATTCCAGACACCGTGCATGGTGCCTGGACACAATTTAGGCCATGATTGAGTGATCACCAAGCCCAGGTTCTAAAGAATAATAATCTCTCAATGTGGGCATTTTCACAGAACCCATCTGAAGGCACAGACTGAAAATCTATGCATTTTTTGTTGTCTTTTGCGTGAATATTTTCTTGTAGGTCGCATTGCCATGCATTTTGTTTCTGATGGCTCTAGATCTCAGGGGCATCCGTATGTCAAAAGCAGTAAAGGGAATTATCCTTCTGAACATGGAGAAACCCTCAAAATGTCAGTGTTGAGCAGGACCACTCCGAAAGAAGCTGCTAAAATCTCAAAGTAATAGCAGGCGGGGAAGGATCAAGGTTTACTTTCGATGCACAAACACTTGCACCGGAAACGTGCATCGAAGACCTGATGATGCAAGCTAGGAAGATCAATTTTGATAGCATCTGACTGACAATGAAGGGAAGACATATCTCCCTGCACGCCGTTTTCTAGAATAAAAAAGGATTGATCCTTAAAGGCACGGTTCACGATAATTTTGGGTAATCCAGATCATGATGAAAAATGGAAGACAAGATCGAAAATAGTGCGACTGAGGTGAAGAAACTGCGTGCATCGGTGTTTCTAAAGTGAAAAAAGGTTTTGAAAAACCGTTAAAAAGGGGGCTGGACGAGAATGAAACAAGAAAATTGAAGAAGAGTGGGGCGTTCGGACGAGCTAAATAGTGTGTTTCACTAACAAGACAAGACTTAACAGACAATGGTAAGAAAAAATTCATTCACTTTTAAGCATGAGTAAACAAAAAAGCCTAGTAACAGCAAAAGCAGCTCACCTTTTTCAGCCTCTGATAGTAAGAAATTAAATAAGGGATTGCGACAGCAAAAAGAAAAACAGGGGAAAAAAGAATGGGAGAAAAATATTGCCTCATCACCCGCCAATTAGTTGATTGTGCGTGGGTCCGAGAACGAATAATAACAATCTGTATTGTCTCGACACTCGTCTAACGTGACACCGATCGAGAGGCGGGAAGCGAACTACGGCAGCAACGGGGCTTCCACTATGCCCTAAGCGCCGAAATTGTTGGAACGAGAGGGTCCCTTCTACCACCCATGGGGGCGCTGAGTATTCCTGAAAGAAGAACTCAGTAACCTTTTTTTTATCGTGAACCGTGCCTTTAAAACATGCGGCAGGTGAGGCCTTGGCGGTGTAGGTGTTCTCGTCAATGGTTGACCATGTATAATATTATAATATATAATATATAATAATACATTGATTTGTACGAAATCCTAAAAAGCCGAATCGGACAGCTGCATCGAGAAGATGTGTCTCAACCTCAGTTTAATGGCTCAACCTCAGTTTACCAGTCTTCGTAGTACTCACCAGCGTCAACTTACGAAGAATAAAAGCTGGAAGCGTGGGCAACCCATTCATATGGGCCCTGGTGAAACTGCACATGTAGGACAATACTGTCTTTAGGTTACTGTTTGTTGTTTTGACGCCAGGATTGGCCAGGAAAGTGACCGGAAGATCGTTGCAATGTTAACGAACACCATCTTTAGTGAATCGCATTCTCAGAAGCCCTCTCACATGGATTTGAAGGACTTGGAAAGCATTTCCACAATGGAATATACAGATCCTGACATCTTCGATCTGATGTTCTGCCGTTCTGACTTAACTTTTCTTCAAACTTCTGCACGATGTTGTCGCTCTTTCCATTCTAGACATTTTAAAAAGGCGCGTGGAGAGAAAGCTGCGAACTCAAAAAAAAGAAGCAGCAAGACGGTCATCAATTAAGACAAATCGCGTCCCTTGCGTGTTTATGAGAAGACCCGTAATTGACAACATCGATGAGAAATGCGATCGGCTCGTTGAACATCCTCACGATAGTGCTATGTGAGCAGAGAGTGAAGAATCATTACAAGACTTCTCTCTTCAAAGATTCTCGAGTTGATACGTGAAATCGCGCTCAATAATTGAATCGCTACAAATATTCGTCAATCAACGTATAAATATGAGAAGTCATCGCGACAACTGATAATGGCAATCTGAGAGAGGAAAAAACAGCTGTTCCACCTTAGAACCGCCAAAACTGGGAAGGGCATCCGCAATCACCGGCGAAGCTGAGCTAATATCAAGAACATGATGCTTATCTTCCGTTCATCTCAAAGAGCAGTGGAGAAAGTCAACATCTCTACTACTTCCACTTGGATTACTTCAGCCACGCATGCATACCTACCTAGCACCTTGGACCCGGAGGATATGTCATTTTTCAGCTCTTTCTTCAATTCGACGTGC